GTAAAACGTGTGGGTGCCTTTCACCTCCTGAAGAGCGTTTCTTGCTCCGCGAAAAGCATAGATCTGCTGATGAGGGTCTCCCACTAAAATCTTGGCACAAGACTGACTGAGAAGAATATCGGACGCAGCTACAACAACACGCGACACGTGTTAGCATGCATCCAATTCATATTCCCAAGACGAATTTAAATAACTAAGACTGATAATCTTATGGTTCAAGTTTTCGAGACCAATTTTGGTGAGCAGTGAAGCAATAAAATAAGGCATTATTGTTTAAAATCAATTAAAAGTTATCGTCAAGGATGATTGGGTACAATGGTTTCTTACACCATGCAAAAAGTTTTTCTCACCAGGAGTACAGTCTTGAGCTTCATCGACCAAGAGACAGTCATATCCATCAAGAACTGGCCTGTTGAGTTGATAAATCTTAAGATAACCTGGAAAAAAAGTTATGAGACAATGTAAATCTGTATTTCAAGGTGGCCCCACAGTTTGCGTGCTGGACTCCGGGTCGAGAGGCCTAGGCTAGGGATCTGTTACCCACTTAGTGTACGGGCGCGTTCTGTATTCTAACGTAGAGATATAAAAAAGACTACAAACTTACCATCATGAGTGATTGGAAATTCTCCATCTCCTCGATCTTTCATTCTCTCCCATAAGCCATGCGCATGTGAGACAACTTTCTACGGTTAAAATGAAATTCAGACAACCATGTCAACTATACCTTATCCACAGGTGTCCATAAGTGGCAAAGAAAAAAAAACAGCCCAGTAGAATAAACTTCGAATATAATCCCATACAGATGCTACAAATTGGCTTTCAGCTGTCGCACTTTCTGGACACATGAACCCTTTCGCCATGAAAAACTTAACGTAAACTCGTCCGATCTCAAGAAATGACAACATTTTTTTATCTGTCACGACATTTTTTGACAAGTTCTTTACCATCTCTCGTTTAAGTTGCCACAAAATACAAAATAGGATTAATAATGCTGCACAGAATGCAATGGTTGAATGCCATAAAAACTGAACTATGAGGCGTTGGCGCGGCCGTATACTATGTTCATGCGTAAGAAGGGTGCTGCACGCTGCTAGGGACTAAGTTACAACAAAACCAGTCAAACGCAACAATGTTAGACTCAATGCCCTGTGATTCCATCTATATTCAGTTGTAAACCTACCAAAGCGCTGGCACCTGACTCCTCCCGTTTCCATCCAAATATCTTGTTCGCGCCAAAAGCTACGAAGCAGATTGTTTTCATTCAAATTTCGTTTGTTGTTTCTTTCATGTATCTAAACTGTCACGTAGGTTCGTATTATCCCCTCGCCGGATGTCGCTCATAGTAGTCTTGTCATTGCTAACTTCAGTGTATTTCTTTGCTTCTGTTTTTGAAACCACTGCGACTGTTTGTCACTAAATGACCGCTCGAAGTACCTGTCACTTAAGTTTAAAATAAATCTACCTGTGCATCTTCTCAATCACATCACCCTACCTGAATGTGCTGGTCGCTGTTCAAATAACTTGTATCTGAGCCATATTCACCAAAGATAGATGTCAGAACCTCGCTTCCTTCTGAGGAAGAAACATCCACTGAGGCTCTTTTGGTTGCTGGTACATGCTTGCGGTTCACAGTGGTGTCCGCAGATGCTATGAAGTTATTAAGAGTTTCTTCAACGCGTCGGGCATGAAGATATCCGCAATTGAAGGGAAGGGCATCCATGATAGTACCGATCCGTAAGCCACAAGTAAGCTTGTGTTTGTATCTAAATAAATGAATTAATTCTTTAAAGGATATTGTATGGCTACGCGTGGATACGAATTTTGTACTCTAGTGTTGGTATGAAGAGATTAGATCAGGCCATCTTTGCACCTGCTGGTGAGCATAGGGCATCAACCACTGACCTCCACCGGACTATAATTTTGGCAGTTCTTTTTTTCTCCCTCCAGATATTTTCTAAGCGAGTTCGTCTAGTCTACTAAAATACACACTATACCCACATGTGTAGGCTTCACAAGGGATCTAGCTAGGCATCACATCGGCAAGATGATTTGCTAGTTTTCTAGAGCATCTCATCGCATGCGTAATTGCAGTGCATTAAAATCAAGAATGCTGTTCTTCTAACCTAACTCCCACTTCTCTGTAGGCGAGCGAGTGGATTGTACGGTTCTCAACATTGCTGGGGAACATGTTAGCAGCATGTTCCTGAATTGACCTTAAAGACAAACACACAAACAAAAACAAAAATATGATAAGCTGAACTGTTCACAAGTACTTCACTTGGTAAAAGTGTCTTTGTTGACTGCAGCTTATGGAACACTACTAAAATCAAAACGTTTTCTCGCCCTCCCCAGTCCCCTACCCCTACCGTCCACTCTAACTCGCGAGCTTATAACGTTCAACTCGCTCTAATAAGACGCCTGCAAGTGCAAAAAAAGCAAACGCACTTTCAAATTTTCAAATAGCTCTGTTTCCAGAGTACTCATTCACTATTCAAAGTTATTTTCTCTTTCATTTTTACAGCTCAAGAGATTCCTGGGAAAGTTTACATCATGTAGTATGTTCACCTACTTGTTGTACGCCACATTAAGGAATCGTTCCTTAGGCCTCATCTTGGTGTACTCAACAAGAGTTGTAGTCTTACCAGTTCCTTGAAAACAAAAATTAAATCAGGGTTTCATTGAGAAATGAAGCAGCAATGAGCAATGTAGTGAGAAATAAAAGGGCTAAATTGAGCTTGAAGCAGTGTGGCCTAAAGTTTAAGGCAATGTGCTGGAATCTGTGGTCATGGGTTCAAGCCCTTTGCCCTACTTCTCACTGAATCTGTTCTTGCTTGCCCCCATATCAATTCCTTAGCTGCACTTTGTATAGAGCCAACTGGTCTGCCTCCTACCAGTTGGGATTTAAATACCACGTTTTTTCACAATTTTTGTTTCCAATTTGTTTGTGTTTTTCAGGTGAAAATCCCCATTTGGGGAGAGGTCAATTAAGTATACGTGTCATTACATACTCTATACATATGAAGAAAGAAAGTTCAAGAATTTCATTCAGATAATTCTTTGAAGACGTGTAGACAGAGAATTATCTGATATCCTAAATAAATATCCTTTTGTCTGTACAGTATATATACAATTTATACAATTGCAAACATGTCAGGCAAGACAGACCAAGCTTGCTTGTTATGATTGCCAGTCAGAAAACGCACTTCTAGTTAACCTATTGCAGAGCCAGGTATATAATTATCAAAAAAAAACATCTTACCAGCAAAAGCTACAATTTTTGTGATCTCTCCCACTCTGACATCATGTTTGATAATGCGAACTTGTTCTTGGGTAAGTTGCAACTTGTCAGAGATTGACCTATGGGGAAAGAGATTATTCCTCAGATTTCTTTCACATTCGCAAAGGGTGGCAGCTGACAGATTGCACTCCATGCTGAGACTGAAAATTCTCCTGTAAAAAATCTTCAGTAAATTTTGCATGCCATGTTCACCAGGATTTTCAAGTGTGGTATAGACAAGTACATCCACTTGTTTTATATCTTCTGCTTAACTGATCAGGCATTTTCCATCAGCGAAAAAGTAAAACAGCTTTGTAATACCTAGTGGGGTAATTTCCTATCTTAGGCAAAAAGCAGTATATGAGCTAATAGCTGAGATAGAGTAAGTCAATCTGAAAGTTCTAGGGATAAAATTTCCAAAATTGGTCCCCATGTTACCTGTCCTGCATCACTGACTGCTGTTCAGTAGAATTCTGACCAGATACAGAACCAAGAGATGCACATGTGGCTCGGAATGCATTCTCATACAAATACAGTGTATAGAACACCCTGTAGTGAAGACTAATTGGAGAAAAAATAAAATGCAGGATGAAAGGTGGCAAGAACACCTCAAACATCACTTTAATTTATAATAAGACAGGTTAATCTTGCTATATTGGCATTGCAGTGGTTTCAATGCCTGTGGGACCTCTCACTGCTGTCTGTTTAAGCTCTTGTGATTTGCTTTTGCCTTACTGTACAGCCACCTTTTATACTATTGGCAGTACCCTATGGAAAAAGTTACTGAAATTTCTGTGGTATAGAATATCAATGGATTTCATAATTTCATCTTAAGATTTATTTGACATACAAAAATTAATTGTTTCTTACAGTGCACAGTGTCATTGGGCACATACAATTAGGTGTATATTGTAGCAGTGAATCTCAGAATCAAATCTGAAGCAACTCATTCTATCATCAGACATACCCACTTCCAATTCTGTTTTGTGACTCCAGGTAGTAAAAGATTGATGCCAGACAGTAAAGACATTCCAGAATGTCATGTACCAGACAGGATGTGGACCTTGTCAAACAATGGACTATTTCTTGTACTTCATAAACTGTTTGGCAAACCAGTGTCAGAAGTGCTACAACAGACCAAGGACTAGGAACCTTGAACAGAGACAGTGTATGCTTAAATTGGGTCAATACACATCATTAACCCTGTACACCCTAACATCAGTATCCATTTTCTCCACACTGTTCTTTATACATTTCCTATGGTACTGACAAAGAGAATTTGTTTAACAATCAAGAGCCTCTTATGTAGGTGATCATTTCCATTATTCTCATGACCTCTATGTTTGTTTTAGGGGCAATACTGATAGGAGAAAATAGTTACTAATCACTCTAAGGGATTAAAGGGTTAGCAGATACTGTCACACATCATTTTTACAAAGTGTTCTCCCATAATTATTCTAAGGATGACAGGTAAAATAAATTTTCAAAGTGGTAGAGCAATGCCTTTAACTGTTGAACTTTTAACTTCCAAGCAATTTTAGGAAGTATTAAGAGGTACAAAAGATGGTAAATTTTACCTGTTACTGCCTAACAAGTAGAACACTGAGTACACAGTTGTTTTTTTAGCAAATCAAGAGAATTAGAATTATCTTGATAATCATCATAAGGTTGAGAATTACAGTTTTGGAATCCTAGAAATTTTTGTCGATTTTGTGAAGATTACAAATTAGACTTTTGATCTTGTCAATATTTCCATTCATCCTCTACTGTTCCATACTCCAACACTTGTACACTCCTCTCGAAAAGAGAAAGTGAAGCAAACTAGCACCAAGTAAATATTAATTAAGCACTTTGCAAAAATCATGATATGTTGTACCTCTCTTGAGCTGCTGGTAAGAGTTTCCAAGAATGTCTCTATCAAAGGGAACTTGGGATGTGTCTTTAACTTTTCAATTGAAGATGAACTTGCTTTTCTTTTAAAATCTTTCATAAAACTACAAAACCATAAAAAAAAACAAATTTAAAATAGCCAAATGCAAGTTAGACAAAGTAGAACCTAAGACAAAGTTTGGTGACAGGTGGTCACTCAACCATGCAGGTGTCAAGCTTTAAGAATCTACACCTCTCCTGTTGGGGTGATGTCATTCTGTTTCATTTGCTTCATATTGCAAAGTTCCAACTCTCATACTCTGCCCACCCTGTGGTGAGTATTTCAAAGCTGTCTGTCTTTTTCCTGTGATCATTAATGTGACAGTGCTTTGGTGGAGGCCATTAAAAGGGTCATCATGTTTAGAATTGATAAATTAACAGAAAATCATTAAAGTCTGATGAAAATGCTGGCTCCACTCACCACCTCTTCCCCCACTTGCCCCAACTGCATCCCACACACCACTCTCATCATACGTTATTATACATGTACATGTATGGTTGCCATCTACACAATACAGTATACAACACATCCCTGTTTAAAAATACTTCACCATTTTAAAATGCACTTGACATTTTAGGTATCTTAATTCCTGAATGAACCAATCAGATCTCAAATATATTTTTGATGACTTCTTTGGGAAATAAGTTACTGTATCAACATATCAGATTTGGTTTGTAATACGAACCTTGCTCTGCAGGAACTAAGCTCCTCTACAAACCAATGATATAGAAGAGTATATGTCATTTCTAAATTAAGGTTTGCCTGTTTTATTTCTGTCAACAACAACTAAAACAGACAACAATAGATGGGACATTTCTGCTTTAGGAACATTACTGTTTCACTATAAATTGGATGCTATCTGTTGTAAATTATTCTTCTTTGAGGCTGTATTATTTTTATTAGCAATTGATCTGTAGAGGCTTTTTGTGAAGCTTTGTCATAATTGTAATTTTTCAATAAAAAATCTGTTACATTACATTTTTTCTGCACCCAAGGCCGAATACTTAGAAAGCCATCAAATGATCATTATGCTGAGCCCGATGGGGTGATTCGCATTTAGTTCATCCTTAAAAATGTCAACAACTTCTTAGTGTCTAAACAATACAACACTCAGTTGTCCTCATGATAGGACTTCAAGTGAAATAAATCACATTTGATCAATAACTCTTTCAAGATTGTACTCTAGCATGCTGTCTAACGAGCCACATTCTTTTCCATCAAATCAATTTAATGGCTTGCTTGAACATTTCAATCAGTTTGTAACTGATTTTTTACTGCAAAATTTCAACTGTGACAAAGCTTTACAAAAAGCTTCTACACATGAGTGAGTGTTAATGAAAATAATCTAAAGAGGAATGATTTACTACAGATAGAATCCAATTTATGGATTTATTTATTTATCTCTTAAAGAAGAAATGTCCCATCTACTGTTGTCTATTTTGTTTGTCTGTTTCCAAGTAATCCTTCCCTTCCTCTGCCCTTTTTGGTTCTCTAAACATGTACTTGGGCAGCATTTCAAGTAAAAGCTCTCAGACTCTTCAACCGCAGCCAAACATGGAACACTTTTCCTATCTGAATATAATTAACCTTTAATCCATTCCTGTCACCTTTGTCTAAATCTCAAGAGAGGCATGGGTTTTTAAAGCTGTTAAAAAAAATTGCAGCACTAGTGTTTTTAAACCCAATAAAATGCTGCTGCTCATTTTTTAAACATTACATTAAAACTTTTAAAACAGAAAATTATTACAAATACCTTGATAGATTCAATGGAAACATATCCACCTCTAAAAGTCCTTTTCTCTCCAGTAGTTCAATCATGACATCTCCTGATGAATTGTCCTTATTCTTTAGAAGAAAATATTTCTTCTTCCAAGGAATAAACTAAAATACAAATTAGCATGTGTAAAAGCACAATTAAAATGCATAAAACAAGAAAAACAAAATCAGTTTCATGGAGACCACAGTCACTACCCTAAGTTACTAGATAGAGAGTGAGATGTTTAAGGACAAAAAAAGAGTTATTAATCCTTAAACTCCCAAGATTTGATTGTTAATTCTCCCCTCTTGCTACTACACATTACCTTGTTAATTAGTTGTGAGTATTTCCTGTTGGAGCAAGATGACATCTTCTGCCTGATTAATTTGTTTGTTGGATAATGTATGTATGTTTTAGGTAAAGGTTACACATTAATCACTTCTGGGAATCAAAGGGTTAAACTACCGGTATATTTCTCTCCTCTCTGAGGTCTGCACAGGCAATGTCATCTTCGATTACAATCAACAATTACAAAGTTAGAAATCCACTTACTCTGTAATAAAAAAACTTTGAGACCAGCTGTTCTCTACTGTGAATATATGAAAGTCATATATTTGAACTGTGGATAAAGACGTGAAAATATGAAAGCGATCTTCGTAGTTCTGAACGCTACTTAAGCAGTAGTGAAAATAAGGCCTGAAAAGAAGTTCAGGCCTGAACGGAATGACTTTCATAATTATTCACAGTCGTTTATTCACCACTTCCTGACGGGTTTATTTGGAACCAACATAATGACCAGCTCCCAGTTGGCTTGTTAGCTCAGTTGGTAGAGCGCTGCACCGGTATCGCAAAGGCCATGGGTTCAAATCCCGTATAGGCCTGAATTTTTTTCAGACCTTACTTTCACTACTGCTTAAGTAGTGTTTATAACTGCTAAGATCGCTTCCATATTCACAAGCTGTTCTCTATTTAAAAACCAGCAAAAACTTATGTTTACAGCACATTTACTTACAGAATCCTGTGATATTACGTTATACCACTGGTGGCACACCAAGGTACAATTCAACATCAAATCCACGATAGGTAACTGACAGAAAATATTCTCCATAATCTCAGCAGGCAAATGACTGAAATCAGTACTACTATGATTGAAATCTAGAGAATCATCTTCCTCATAAGAATCAATAACATCACCACCAACAAGACCAAATGTTGACCTTGACGATAATTTTGTTTTAGCTTGCTTAGTATGGGAAGCCATCTGTGCCAAATATAACAATCGCTAGTGATAGAACTCAATCGTAAGGACTAAATGTCTAAATGTCATAGTTTACATGCGGTTGACACAGCGGCAAAGTGAGTGCGCATGCTTGAAAATGCGCGCGAAAATTGACGCGCGAAGAGGAATGGGAATGACAATATTTCCATACTAACACTATAGCAGCGGTATGACGGCATTTTTAAAATTCATATTGCTTGTTTTTCTTTCGTGGGATAAGCCCTAGCCTTAACAGATAAGGCTCCCATTTTCAAGAAAGTTTCTTTCGAACCTGCTCTGCAACATATCTTTCCCAACGAAAAAAAAAACATTTAGGCCACAGGTGTGAATTTTAGTATTACGGTTGAGCGTTCGTAACATGGCTACGAATTCGTAGCCTGTGTTATTATTATGGCACTTATGGCGAAAAGGCTTGCTCTTCTTGTAGAGGAAGCATAATTGGCTTTAACACTGAAATGACTTGAGTGGCAGAGGTGGAACCAGGACATGTTGTGTGAATGTCATTATCAACAATTTGGAAAAAGGGGCAACATCTGATCGTGCCTACTACCTTCAAATTCTTCCACTATAAGTGATACACCTATCCCCACTAGACTGTACAAACAATTTACAAGGGTGGAAATAGGTGAGACTTGTTATCAACCAGGACGCTGTGGTACACAAGTTGTTGGAGAAATGCCGACAAAACATTTGCCTCGAAGACCACTTATAAAAAGCCAGTGAGAAGAAAAACGTTAGATAGTTATATTTAAAGGCTGTCATCAGTATTTACTTAATTAACAATAAAGCAAACGATGACATAATTATCACCTTGTTTCCACCAGAAGATCAATAACTTAAACAAAAATATTCATGCAAAATGAAGATGGAGTGCCATGCAAAATTCAGTTGGAGCGCC